TATATATATGTATATATGAAAAATATATCAAAGTGCATCTGGGTACTCAAATGAAAGCTGCTGATGAATGTAACATCGTGATGAGCTTATATCTTTAAAAATATCAATATTTAAGAAAGTACAGTGCAATTTAACAAAATTCATTATTTAATAAAATAAAATTCTATTCTTATATAGTTTACAAGTCACGGAAGTCACATAGTGACTGCAAAGTTGCTAGTAATAATTATTATAATTAATAATTTACTTAAAAATTGCAGGTGTAGCATCAGCATTAAAAGTACACATGGGTTACATAGCGGGACTGGTACCGGGTACAAAAGCCTCATCAACATGTCAAATGAACATGCCCCAGGGCTTGCAATCGAGCCACCACTGTGGATCGGGACCCATTATCAACATCACCAGCGACGAGGAGCGGCGCTTAAGTTTGGGCTTAAGGCGGAAGGAAAGCAGCGAGCCGAGGGTTAACTTCAGTCTCCCTTCAAGTAAATATTCAATTTCATCAATCATTAACATAAAAGAAGAAGAAGAACTTACCTTGATTAAGAAATCTAATTTAAAATGATATCAAAAATTATTATTTAAAATGATTAAAATTTTTAGCTGTCAATAATTTTAAATTATAGAATTGTGTTGTGAAATAATTTACTGGAAATTTTTAGTTCTAAAGTTTATTATTTAAAATAATTTGTAAATGTATATTAATAAAGTTTGCTATTTTTTATTTTTTTTTATTTATTAAATTAGAACTAAAAAATATTTTTTTAAAATTGCACTTATATTTCTTCAATTTTTTTACAAATTAAATTTAAAAAAATTTTTTTGTCAATAAAAAAAAATTATAAAAATTTTTAAATGTCGGCTAGCTTAATTTTAATTTCAATTTCTTATTTTAAATCTTAAAATTATAATTTCAAATAATTTGAAAGAAAAAAAAGCAATTTTTCTCTATTTTTAACTAAGATTATTAATATAAAAAATAAATAATTTATTATTTTAATGATTTTAATGAAAAAAAATCAAAAAATTCCACCCCACTTTTTGGAAATCAACTTCTCATTAATTTTTAATTAATTTCCAGAAGCGAATGCAAGCCAGAGTTCATCCCGTGAGAAGATCCGAGGATCTCCGCGATTTCCGCACCGAATAATGCCAGCAACTAGCCTGAACACTATTTCCGTGGATGTTAACGCGTCCCAGCCTCTGCGATGGCATTCCATGGAAGACGCATCGCGTTCGAAGAATCAAAATTCGACGCGCCGAAATATTGACGTTAATATTTATTTAAACGTTAACAATTCTAATAATAATAATAATAATAATAATAATAATAATAACAATAATGTTAATGTCAATAATAGCAACAGTCTATTGGGACAATACAGTTACGCGGTTAATTACGACGTTTGGGCGACGCACCAAGTTGGGATTCCCCTGAGTGAATTAGCAAACACAGCTCGAGGACAGCGACAACGACAACTTAACAATGATCCTCGAAATAATCAACAACAGTCCCTGATTATTCCGGCTGATTCTGATGTCAGAGCTGATGATTTGCTCGCCTGTGATTTCAGCGAACTCTTTAGGGAGAAAAATATTTTATTCGCTCAGAGTAATATTGATGAAACGCCCAAGGGAAGAAATACTGAAGCTGAAGCTGAAGCTGAAGTTGAAGCTAAAGAAGAAAATCAAATAAATAATTCATTAAGCAATTATACTGATAATTATAATAATGATAATGATAATGGAGAACCTTCTAATAGAGATGTAGAGACTGTTATTGTTGAAATTGAAAATACTTATCAATCAAGGTGTGATGATAGTGATAATAGGCAAGGTTGTATAAGTGAGGATGATAATGCTGCCGTTGGATCTAATTGTGATTTGTCTGATCGCAATTATGATACACAATAATTTATTAAATGTATTTTAATTATTATTTCTTACTCTGGTAATAAGAAATTTTTTTTTATTTTATTTATGAGAAGAAATTGATAAAGGGATTTAATTATTTTTAGTTTTATAATTGAGCCGAAAAATAAAAAAAAAAACTTTTAATTAAAATTACAAATAAAAATATTAAAAAAAAATTGAAAAATAAGTAGAAGAGGAATATAAAGCTGCAATCGTAAGGACCGGCTGTTAAGAAATTGTTTTTTATTTATTAAATTTTTTTATTTCATGTGAAGCTATTTATCAAAATTTTTTTATAAAAACTTAAATTTTTTTATACGCTCTTTTAGCTTTATTACAAATTAATTACAAACCAAAATGATCCCTTAATATTGTTGAGATTGAAGATATAAAGAGAGTAAGAAATAATAGTTTAAATATTCTATATAGTTTATTTAAATGTGCCAAATGAAATATGGAATGTTTTAATCACTATCGGGACCAATGGAGTATTTTAGGGAAGTAAGAAACGCTTCAGGTTGATATTCAAGGGAATTGTCTGGCAATAAATATTATAAGAAATACAATTGTAATTATTCGCTATTAAATCTGAGGGTTTTGAGAATTGGTGGCTTTGCAAAAATAATTACTACCATTCATAAATTTTTTTTTCAAATGTAACTAATCAAAAATTTAGATAAAATTGTTGCAATTTAATTTCTTTTAGTTAACGTTACAAAATTTTATTGAAGATTTTGGGTACAAATATTTTGTACAAAAAAAAAAAAAGGTAATTTTATAAAACATTTATTAATGATATTTTCAATTTATAATAACTTGTTAAAAAAAATTAAAACCTTAAAACCTACCTGAAAGAAGTTAACAGAAATGAGAGTTTATGCACATATATTTGTTATTATTATTGTAAAAAAAAATATTTAGAATAACTAAAATATGTTTACACTGAACTTCATAAATTAATTTTTATTTTTCACTTAATTGATGTTTAAAGAAGAAATAAAAAATTTTTAATTTTTAAAATGTAAAGAAGAAATACAAAAATTTAAAATTTTTTAAATGTAAAGAAGATATACAAAAATTTTCAATTTTAAAATACAAAGAAGAAATAAAAAATTTAAATGCAAAACTACCAATTCTAATAGTGAAATTACTTGAATCATAATGTAATAATAAAATACTCGAGTAAGTAGATATATAAATAACGTCAAGAATTATAAAGAAATATAAAAAGAATTGAGCATGGATTAAAAAATGTAAAAATGGTCCTGTTATTCAGTACCCTCGTCTATTCTCTAGTACCTGCGTCTGTTAACAATGTCAACAGTATTATGCATCTTGATTAAATTATTCTGTCTCAAAATTAACGATTAAAATTAATAAAAGTGATAATAATGTATTTCCTGTGGTTTATTGAGTGTTTACAAATTAAGAGTAAAGTGTTTCATATATTTGTGTATAGATGTTTTAAGAATGATGTCTACTTATTAACTATAATTTATTTAACTAAACGTATACTGTTAATAATTGTGCAATAAATATAATTAATATTAATTATATCAATTGAAATGACAAATCGAAAATATACATATATGTAAATATATTCTTCTTTTTTTACTTGTATTTATTCATTTTTACCTTTCTTATTTTTTTAGGTACATTTCATTAATATATATGACCTTTCATTTGAGTACCCACATCAATTTTTCATATATTTTGTATATTTATATATATGAATATATGAAAAATATATCAAAATCCATGTGGGTACTCAAATAAAAGCCCTTGATCAGCATGACATCAGGATGAGCTCACATCTTCAAAAATATCAATAATTAAGAAATTACCTTGTATCTAGTGAACTATTGACATTTTTAGAGATATAAGCTCATCCCGATGTTATACTCATCAAGACCTTTCATTTGAATACCCACATCAATATATGAAAAATTGATGTGGGTATTCAAATGAAAGGTCTTGACGAGTGTAAAATCGAGATGAGCTTATATCAAATAAAATCTATCTTTTATTTCGGGTGAGGCCAAATGGCATTTTTTTTTTTTAATCAGTAAGAATAAAAACTACTTTTTTATTTTTATTTATTACAATATTTTCCTGTACATTAGCATTTTTTTAATAAGCTTTTTATACATACTGTTTACAATAACGAAAGTAAATTGTAATAATAATAATATTGGTAAATAATAATATATTTACCTATAAATAGTATATTACATACCTAGGCCAGTAAAATAAGAAAAGTCTCAGACCACATGTAATTGTTGGCCGAGGCGAAGCCGAGGTTTTACTTTTTACTGGCCAAGGTGTGTATACTATTTTTCTGCTCGACGTAGCCGGAATGTGGCAACTTTGTTTAGCGCAGCGGCCAGAAAGTTGCCACTTTCCGGCCGGAGGGCAGAAAAAAATAATTCAGTAGGTGGTTAAAATTCTAGATACAAAAACAGAATTTTATTTAAATTCATTTTTAATAATTTTGCAACAGCCTTAATTTTTATTTATATATATTTATAAAAAAGTTATTAACTTTTAAAAATTATAAATTATTTTACAGATTTTTTTTTTTAATTAGAAATAAAAAAATAATAATAATAATTACTTAATTAATAAACATTATTTTATTACTTATGAGATTAAAAGACAATATAGAAAGCAGTATTGTAAAAAATCAATACAAGAATTGCTGCTAATGATTATTATTACTTCATTATTTTAAATCTAATTATTTATACAATAAGAATATTTTATTATGTTCATTTTTAGTTATTAAAATTAAATTCTATAAAAATAATAATGCGTTGTTTATTCAATCGAGATAATTATCCTCTTTAAAATAGAAACAATGAAATTTAATCGACCTAAATTAATTATCAATTTTTCTTTGTTATCTTATTAATAATTCGTCATTATAATTGTGACTTTTATCGGATCAACCGAAGTGAAAATATTGAAATTAATTACAAAAAAAAATGTATGAAGTCATTATTTTTTTTTTTTTACTGTTGTTAAAAATAAAAAATAAAAATATTGTTACTGTACAATTAATCGGAACGTCATTAAAAAAAAATGAATAATTTAAACGCTAAACAATGTATATTTATGCGGTTGAATATTTATGAAATGAATAGACTTAATCATACATTCATTCATACGTAAATTTAATTCTTACTAACTCTTCTCGGAACAATTAAAGAAAATGATAAACAAAGATTACCTAAAATTATACAATTCAATATAAATTTTTATATAAAGATTGATAAATTAATATAAAAATAAAATGCTTAAAAATTAATCAGTAGTCTAAAATAAATATAATAACTCATAAAATAAAACTTACAAAAAGAAATAATCCGTATTAATTGCAATTACACCATTTCGCTCATAGACATAACCTGAAAAATTTTAACCAACAAATTAAATAAAAATAAAGAATATGTTTTTAATATTTCTCGTGTCAAAAGGTAAGAGGGAACTTATTTTTTTTTTTTAGTGCTGGACTGGTAGACATATTCTACACACAAAGAAATTTTCTTGGGTCAAGAAAATATTAAGGAAAACAAAAGTTATTCTAGAGCAAGAAGAAATTTTCTTGGCTCAAGAAATCTTGACTTCATTCAAGAAATTTTCAATCTTTTTTAATATATTTTCTTGAGCCAAGAAAATTTACATTCCAGTCAAGAATTTTTTTTTTTTTTTAAGTGTACGCATAAAAATTAAAAATTGAGTTCCTGAAGCTGAAAGGACGTAGTTTTTTGATTATGCACACTTTTAGTTTTAGGAATTTTTTTATTTTATGACCTAAAGCTAAAAGGGCCAACAAAATTTTTTTCTGAGCTAATAATTAAGGAAAAAGTCAGTAAAATTCATTTTTTTTTCTAAGAAAATTTTTTAATGACAAATTAATATTTTTTTTATTGTTTATATTAATAAAAGAATAAAAAAAAATTTTATCTCCAAGATAATCACATTATAAAAACGGGTTTTGTTAGTTAAATTTAATGTCATTGCAAAGGTCTTGAATTTGTACCTTTTGAAACTATTTTAGATAAATATTTAGGCGGCATTCGAAAATACTCTATCTCTAGATACATAATTATAGAAATTACCTTGTATCTTGTGAACTATTGACATTTTTAAAGATAAAATAAGCTCACCTCGACATTACACTCATCAAGACCTATCATTTGAGTACGCACATTAATTTTTCATATATATTACATATTTGTATATTTCACAAATACGATATATATAAAATATATAAAAAATACCATGTGGGTACTCAAATGAAAGGTCTCGATAAGTGTTACATCAAAATGAGTTTATATCTTAAAAAATGTCAATAATGAAGAAATGACCTTGTGTCTTGTAAACTATTGACATTTTTAAAGATATAAGCTCACCCTGATATTACGCTCATCGAGATCTTTCTTTTGAGTACCCACATCAATTTTTCATATATTTATATATATCACATATATGTATATATGAAAAATATGTAAAAATGCATGTGGGTACTCAAATGAAAGGTCTTGATGAGTGTAACATCAGGATGAGCTTATATCTTCAAAAAAGTCAATAGTTAAGATAATACAGTGCAATTTAACAAAAATCATTATTAAATTAAGCATAATTATATTTATTTCTAGTTCACAAATCACGGTAGTCACATAGTGACTGCAAAGGTGTTACGTTAATATTAATAAAATTAAAAAAAAAAATTCAGTCATGAATTTTATATTTAGAAACTTCGTACCTGCGAAACTAAACAATCATTTTAATTTTCCATCTTATTCTAATAAATAAGCTTTGTATTGACTGTTTTCGAATCTAACTTGTAAAACTATTTGCCACCATTTTATATTCAAACTTAAATTTATTTTGCCCCTATTTTTCTAAAGACTAAAAAGATGCATGTCTTAAAATAGTCCTTCTAAACTTCGGAACTCTCTAATTTTTTTTTTTTTTTACATATATTTATGTTAGAAGTAACAAAAAAGAATTTTTTAAGCCTCCTTTTACCTTTCAACACAAAATTTATCATGCAAGTAATCTCGAAATTCTCGTCAAAATACTCACATTAGCATTATCATCTTCACAATCATCAATTTTAATTTCCTCCGGCTTAGGAGTCAGACTAGCGGCTTTAAATTTCTGCGGACATTTAAGGGCTTTGCGCGCCTCAATGCGTTTCCTATTCAAAAAAGCCATCCCATGAACCCTAAGATGCATATCAACAGCAAGTTTATTCTCAAAAACAGCAAAACAAACATAGCACTGATTAGACTCAGTAATTTTATCCTGTTCCTCAATTTCATCTAATGCATCAGGTGCATACGCAGTATTTTTCTGCAAGTAACTAATCGGATCATTAATCCCATGAAAAGCCTTCAAGTGCATTTGCAGCGTCGAAGCAACAATAAAATTATCCCCACACTCCAAACAAACCAAATAGTGTCCCCTAATTCGATGATTACTCGCCAGATGTTCCCTCAGAACATTAACATCCTTAAACAGACAATCACACTTCTTGCACTTGAAATTCCCTTCAACATCCTGAAGAGATTCCTGAGTTACGCAAAACCCCAAATTGTTCCCGCCAAATTTATCCACAAGTCTCTTTCCATTGCTAAATAACGGCCCGTAATTTCCCCTTCTGCGTTTTTTAGGTGTCAGTATCAAATCCGAGCTGCCCCTTTTCATCCCAGTGTACTTCATAATTTCAAAGCTAGTAAGTCTTCTTAAACAAGGAGTCATACTAACAATTCTATAACCCGCAGAATGACACTCTCTAAAGTGATCATTAATAACATACCAATTGGTATTAATCAATTCTCCACACAAGTGGCACCTATAGTGCACCATTTCTTTCTTAAAAAGCGGTCCATTCATAGCCAGACGTTGCTTTTTCTTCCCAA